GCTGAATCTGCCAGTCCCTGCGGAACTGCATCAGGGGCCTCCTCTGGCAGCCCCCGCTGCTGCGGAGACTTCGGCAGAGGTTCCTGCGCGGTTCCAGTCGCGCCTTGCTGCTCCATGCCCTGGGCCGCTCCCGTCGCGGAGGCGGGCGGGCGCGGCGGGGGGCAGACCTGCAACGGCTGCGGATTCACTTTATCGCAATGCCATCCCTCCCTGCGCTCAAATGACTTCTCCCCTTGCGCCAGTCTGCTGCTCCCACTTCTGAACTACCTCATCCCTTCAACCTCTGCCTGCCCCCTCCTCTTCATGTTCAGTCCTCCCTCCTCCCTCCGCCGCGCTCATTTCTCCTTGCTCCCTTCTCTGCTCCTCCTACGTGGGGCGTTTCACGACAACGACGACGACGACGACGCCGACGAGAACGATGACCACGACGGCGACAACGAGGGCAACGACGACCACGACGACGACGACGAGGACGATGACCACGACGGCGACCAGCGACGACGACTAGCGACGACGACGATCGACGACGACGACGCCGACCACGACGACGACGGCGACGACGACAACGGGCGACGACGACGACGACAGTCGACGCCGACGAGGAACGACGACGACGAACGAGGACGACGATTACGACGACGAGATGACGAAGGATCGAAGATCGAACCTCGAAGTGAAGCTTCGAAATTCAAACTTCGATCTTCGAACTCCGAACTTCCAGCTTCTAACTGCGAACGTCGCTGGGGTGCCAGGGATGGACTGGGGCGGAGGGAAAATGGGGAGGAAAAACGAGGAAGCGGGAGAGGAAGTTGGAGGAGAACGGACAGGCGTGGAGCGACGAGGAACGGGCGGCGAGGAGCCGACGTTGAGGGCGGCGGGATGGGGGGACAGGGAGGAGAGGGGAGACTTCAAAACGAAAATCGCGCCACGGCGCCTGCGCGCGCGCCCCCGATCTCGGCGGCCGACGCGCGCGCCCCTGCAGAAATGCAACGCGCCCTTCATTCGAGCCCCGCTGCTGCGGAGCCACCTACTCCACAACCAAATCGTTTGGGGAGCTGTTCGGACCCCAAACTACTAGTTCTTCAGCCACTCGGCTCTTGCGAGTCCGCCCCCATGACAAGGACAACCTTCACATGGGGACACCCCATGGGGCGTTGATTGGGAACGCCCCACGCGGCTGGTGGCAGGAACGGACGAGGGGGGGCGGATAGAGGAGCAGGACGAGACCTGGCAGGGGATACGCACCAGGGGAGAGGTCTTATGGAGGAAGAGGAGGGGAGGGGACGAGAGCCACTCATAATTAAGCGCACGCAGGCCCACGCACGTGCTCCATTTCTCAGCGACCGCCGCGCCGCCATGAGAACTGTCGTACCACCGCCGCTACTGCGGCGGATGCGTGACCTCCCCCATCCCTGTCCTGCGCTGTTTCTGCTACCACCCTCCCCCCTTCCAGCCAAGCTCGGGTTTCATGCTCGGAGACGGGCGCGGCTGGCGGCTCTTAGTGCGGGTGCGCGTGCTGCCTCCAACTCCTCATCCCCCTCCTCCTCCTCTCCTCATCCCCCCTCCTCTTCCTCCCCATCCTCCTCTATCGGCCCAGCTCCGATCGCCGCTCAGCTCTCCTGGTGCGGCTGGCGGCAAAAGCACCGAATATTGCCTGGGATGTCCTTCGCCGTCTTCGTCGACATCTCAAGCGTCATCTTGCCCTTCTCCTCGGTGCGGCGCGCCTCCTCCATCATCTGCCGCGCCTGGTCGACGAGCATCTGGCCCTTCTCTCCAACGGCGCGTGCGTGGCGGCAACGAGTGCGCCACTGGAAAAAAAAAAAAAAAAAAAAAAAAAAAAAAAAAAAAAAAAAAAAAAAAAAAAAAAAAAAAAAAAAAAAAAAAAAAAAAAAAAAAAAAAAAACGCACCACCATGGTCGCCCAGTTCCAAACACTGCCCTCCGTCGCGATGAGCTCGAAGTCATCGACGTCGCACTTGCCCGCGATGCTCGCCATAGCGGCGCAAAGGCCGCGAAGGAGCCTCCACTGGCAGCCCCCGCTGCTGCGGTGACTTCGGCAGAGGCCCCTGCGCGGTTCCGTCGCGGAGGCGGGCGGGCGCGGCGGGAGGCAGACCTGCAACGGCTGCGGCTTCACTTTATCGCATTTCCATCCCTCCCTGCACTCACATGGCTTTTCCCATTGCGCCAGTCTGCTGCTCCCACTTCTGAACTACCTCATCCCTTCTACCTCCATCTGCACCCTCCTCTTCCTGTTCAATCCTCCCTCCTCCCTCCACCGTGCTCATTTCTCCTTACTCCCTTCTCTGCTCCTCCTACGTGGGGCGTTTCACGACAACGACGAGGACGATGACCACGACGGCGACAACGAGGACGACGACGACCACGACGACGACGACGAGGACGATGACCACGACGGCGACCAGCGACGACGACTAGCGACGACGACGACCGACGACGACGACGCCGACCACGACGACGACGGCGACGACGACAACGAGCGACGACGACAACGACAATCGACGCCGACGAGGAACGACGACGACGAACGAGGACGACGATTACGACGACGAGATGACGAAGGTTCGAAGATCGAACCTCGAAGTGCGAAGCTTCGAAATTCAAACTGCGACCTTCGAACTCCGAACTTCAAACTTCGAACTGCGAACTTCGCTGGGGTGCCAGGGATGCAATGGGATGGAGGGAAAAATGGGAAGGAGAGAACGAGGAAGCGGGAGAGGAAATTGGAGGAGAACGAACAGGCGTGGAGCGACGAGGAACGGGCGGCGAGGAGCCGACGTTGAGGGCGGCGGGATGGGGGGACAGGGAGGAGAGGGAAGACTTCTTAACGAAGATCGCGCCACGGCGCCTGCACGCGCGCTCCCGATCTCGGCGGCCGACGCGCGCGCCCCTGCCGAAATGCGACGCGCCCTTCGTTCGAGCCCCGCTGCTGCTGCGGAGCCATCTACTCCGCAACCAAATCGTCTGGGGAGTTATTCGGCCCCAAAACTACTGGTTTGCCAGCCGCTGCTGCGGACGCCGAGGGCCTGGTGCTGGACGCCGCGGCCCCGCTGCTGCGGGGCCCCTGAGAAGGCGTCGGCCCCCCCTTCTCTCTGGCGGCGTCGAACTTGACCTTACGCTCCACACCGAGGTCCTTGTGCCAGCGAAAAGTTCCTGACCCGTCGCTCCCGCCCAAACCCGCGGCTGGTGGCCTCACCGTGTCCGCGTGGGGGACGAGGGGCAGAGCTTCGACCTTCCTGTCGCCCCAGTGCGGGTGTAAACGGACGCCTGTCCCGTCGTCGCGGTGCAACACGAAATCCCACATCGGCAGCTTCACTTTCACCCGCTGCCCCGCGAACTGTCGCGCGCGCACAATACTCTGACGCATGTGGTCGTAGCTGTTTGGCCGGACTTCGAGGGAACAGCCGATCAGAGCCCCGCTGCTGCGGGGCCCCCCCACGACCTCCCTGATATCTTCCTCCCTGAGCGTCGCCACCATCTCTTGCCACCGCCAAGGGACTTCCTCGTCGCTTTTGAAACCAAAGCTCGTCCTCGCACCGTGGTCGCAAACAGCGACCATGGTGGGCTCCGCATTGTCAAACCACTTGGCTTCTGACTCGAACGGGGCAGTTGGGTCTTCATTCAGATGGCGCCACCATTTCAACGCTTGATTGTGTTGCTTAAACGAAGTGCCGAGCCTCTCTTCATAACTCAAAAAATAAGTAACATCAAACTTCTCAAAATCCTGGGGCCCGCGCGCCGCCGCCGCTGCGGTGGCGCGGGGCTCCTGCGCCGCAGGCGCGGCTCGGGATCCCGACCCCTCTCCTGAAACTGTGTTCCCAGGTTCTGGTGAGTTTCGGAGGGCAGCCCTCACGAAATTATCGAATTCGGGCATGCCGAGACCAGGGGCGCGGGGGCTCACAACGCTAAGCGCGGCGAAGCGAGACGGCCGTTGAGGCGAGACCGCCGCCGCTGCTGCGGCGGCAGGGCCATCGCGCCATTTGGCGTCCTCCGTTGGCGTGTGCCCGTCTTGTCGCCAGTCTCTCCAACCCCTCGCTGACCAATCATGGCCGTCCTCCCAGCCACGCCAGCCGCTGCTGCGGCTATCCCACCATCCTCCCGCGCCACCCCATGTGTATCCGCCTGCATCGCCCATTGCAAGACGATGGCGCAGGCGCGCGTTAGGCCGCGACGGGCCCAGCTGCACCGGTGCTCGCGGGCGATCCCACGGGCGCGGGATGGTTTGAGCATAGCGGCGACGGACGACGCGATGTGATTGGACGGCGGAGAACTTGAAAGGAAGGGGGGTTGGAAACGGAAACGAATGAACGAAGTGGACGAAGAGCGGAAATCGAACCAGAGGGGGGGGCGAAAAAAGAGCGGAAGAGAATAAGGACATGCAGACGAAGGAGAGTGACGAGGTAGATGGCGGGCCAGAACGGCAACGGAGGATAATGTGGTGGAAATTGTGAAAAGGACGCATGGAAAAACACGACGAGGATCACAGACGCAAAGATGATGAGCGCAGTGGTAGCATGACATATCCGAAATCAAGAAGCAGGATGACGAGGAACGGGATGACGAGCAACTCTGTCGCAGAGAGCCTCCGAACGCACCCCCTCTGTCACAGAGGGCCTCCGAACGCACCCCCTCTGTCACAGAGGGCATCCGAAAAAACACCCCCTCTGTCACAGAGGGGGGAAATGATCACTTTAATGCGGCTTCTGGATTAGCTGCTTTTCCCGGCGCCTCCGGCGTCCATGTTCTGAGGAATGGGCCCCTCAGTGGGAAAAAAAAAAGCTGCATGCAGCAGATTTCGTACCCCCCCCTTTCCCCCCCCTTTCGTCCGGCCCGACACTGTTCCCCCCCCCTCCTCCTCCCCTCCTCCTCCTCCTCCTCCTCCTCCTCCCTCCTCCTCCTCCTCCTCCTGCTCCTGCTCCTCCTCCTCCTCCTCCTCCTACCTCCTCCTTCCTCCTCCCTCCTCCTCCCTCCCCCCCCCCCCGCGCGCGTGCAGCTCCTCGGCGGCGAGCGCGAGCCCGTCCGGGCCACCGAGGTGCCCCGTGCGCTGAGACAGCCCGGAGCGGGCGCTGGCGACCTCGGCGCCCAGGGCGCTGCCGAAACAACAGGCGCAGGAGAGGGGAGCGAGCCCCGGCCGCTCCGCGGGGCGGCCACATCCTCCTCGTCCTCCTCCTCCTCGTCCTCTCACTCCTCCTCCTCGTTCCTCCTCCCCTCCTCTCCTCCTTTCCTCCTCGTCCCCTCTCCCTCCTCCTCCTCGTCCCTCTCTCTCCTTCCTTCCTCTCTCCTCCCTCTCATCTTCCTCCTCCTCTCCTCCTCCTCCTCTCATATTCCGCCCTCCTCCTCCTCCTCCTCCTCCTCCTCCTCCTCCTCCTCCTCCGGCCCGCTCCGTGGGAGCCGAGCGCAGCGACGTCGCCGCCACTGGCGGTCGTGGCCCATGCTTCGGGCTTGACTGCCTACCAACCCACCCCAGCCCAACCCGAAGACCCGAGAGTCGGGTTGAGGGCGGTACGGGCTTCACCTGTGTTTTTCATGGTTCCCCGACCCCCCCCCCCCCCACACTGGAAAGGGAGAGCAAATCAGGGCCTTCGGTTTGGGTTGGAGTGGTTTGGTGGGCGGTGAAGGCTGGGGGCAGACGGCCTCTCGAGGTAGGCACCGGCCAACCTCTACAGGCCCCCCCAAGCAGTCTTCTCTCAAGTCGGGCATGTCCTCTGACAGGCGGATTTGGGACGAGAAATTAAACACGGACAAGACATGATCAAACATTGCCAAACATGGTGAAAACATCGTCCCCCGACTATTCTGTTAGGAGGAGGAGGAGGAGGAGGAGGAGGAGGAGGAGGAGGAGGAGGTGACTACTTTGGAATGTTCCTCCGAGGTGGTAGTCCCAGCGGGCCCCAGCAGGCCCTCCGAGCAAAATTCGTCGGGGACGGCCTCTCCCTGGCCGCCCCGGGGGTCGGCGCGCGCCCGACGGGTTCTCCGTGGCGGTGGCCCCCAGCCTCGTTACGACAGGTTCGTGTCGTGCCGACTTCAGCGTTGGTTTCTGACACCGCGGGGATTCTTCAACCTTGGGAGGCCCGGAAATTGGCACCAACACCAACACAGGGGGTTGCCTCCACAGGGGGAAGATGATCCTCGATTTCGGTGTTGGTGGTAATATTTCGGTCACTTTGGAAGCCCAAATATTACCACCGATCACCGAGATCGGGATCCTCTTCCCTCGGTGGAGGAACACCGCCGATATTGGTGATGGTGTCAACCTCTAGGCCTGCGAAACCTTGAACGATCGGCCGTTTCCGAAACGTCCAAATCGTTCCACATCGAACGATTCTGGGTCGCCCGCGGCGTTCAAAGTTGAACGCCGCTGGCGGGGTCGCCGCCGGTCGACACGACACGAACCTACCGCAAGTCTTTAGAACCCCACCAAATAGCGGGTAACTCCTTATTTTTCGGCGGCCTTGTTGAAGGACTGGGGTCCCACCAAGAGGGGGCAACTGATCATTTGTCCCGCGGCACCCGCCGCGCCACAACGACGCCGACAGCTACGACTACGACTTCGACTACGACCACAACGACTACTAGTACGCATGCCTCAGGAGGAGGAGGAAGAGGTTTTAGGACCAGTCCTATTTACCGCCGAGTGAAAAGGGGGGGACTCAACACAAATCTTAGAGAGCTTACTTGGAGGAAGACTTAGAGAGCTTACTTGGAGGAGAAAACAGCATAGGCATAAACTTTCCAAACGCCGCGCGGATTTCTTGGATCGGCGCGAAACTCCCCCTCCTGGCGCGCGGAGCGCGTCCGGGGCGGCGCCATAGACGCCACCTTGGGGGTCCGCCGCCGACCGAGGAAGTCCGCGCGGAGCGCCGACCACTTTTATGCTTCTGCCTCTCTGCCTCCTGCGATTGTAATCACCTTCAGATCTACCGCGGCAAGTGTAGTCACCATTAAAGGTCCTTCGATGGCAACCAATGTTGGAATCACATGTGCAGGCACCATTCGGTCACCATTGCAATCCTGAGCACATAATCACCATGAGATCCTGCAACTGCAATCACCATTCGTTTCTGCCCCCCCCCCCCTTCCCCCTCGGGTCCACCCTCCGCCGGATCGGGGCTCCATCAAGGCCGCGGCGAGGTCCAGGTCGCCCAGGTTACTGGACAGGCTCGGCGTGCCCATGGCCGGCTGAGGCCTCGGGCGGCGACGGCTTCCAGCCAGCGGGGGGGAGAGGTGCGAGAGCGGGGCATGTTTGACATTCTACCCCTTCCGCCTATCTCATCCCATTGCGATGTGGTTCCCCTACCCGCCGACGTGTGCCACAGAGGAGCTGAAACTCCAAAGAGGACCCTATCGTGTGATGCGCAATCGGAGAAAGGGGAGCTGCGTGCATTGGAAAGGAGGAGGCGGATGAGCACGAGGAATAGCAGGAGGAAAAAGGGGGGAGAAGGAGCAGAAGAGGGAGGAAATCATTCTTCTCCGCAACCGCCTC